CCCCCAAAACCCCAAAACCCCAAAACCCCTTATTCCTTAATAACTTAAAATAATTAAAATGAACAATAGGAAGAAATACGAATGAAGTGACTGTAAGATGCTCTTCGATTATCAGCTAAATCTTGACATCCATCAAGAAAAATTCTGTAAAGGATCTCTCAGCCAAGCTAAAAAGTAAGGTTTTTAACTTAGGTTTTGCTGCATATCTTCCACATAATGACATTGGGGGTTATCTGTGAAAAAGGAATGGTTCCATTCAACCTTAATTCCAACTAATGCTAGCATTTTTACAGAGGTTTTCTTAATGGCCAGATAGTTCCAAGCTTGAGAGATGAGCTGAAGATAGGTCAAGACCTGAAGCTTGAGAATAATCCAGCAAATCAGCTCAAGGATCTTAGTCAGAAAAAGATGTTGTCGAATATTGAAAATCGAGAAAGACTTCATAATGTATGGGAAAATATGAGAGCAAATCAAGATCTTAGAGCTAAAAATAATATTGTTGCCAGAGATATAGAACAAGAACTCAGAGATCTCAGGAAGATTAAAGGTAAACTAGAACTACAAGATCGAGAAAAGGAACTCAAGGAGGTTCAAGAAAAACAACACTCAATCAAGGTATTCATTTTATCGATTTGTATTATTTAGGAAGCTATTAGGATGTATACAGAATCTGAAACTCAAGAAGCCCCTTCTCAGCCATCAGAAGCGAAGATCGTCAATAGGCTTCAAAAATCTTCCTTTTTAAACTTACAAAATGAGTCAAGGTCTCCTTATAAAAATGCAAGGAGCTCATCGGTTGAACCGAGGCCAACTCAGCCATTTTCCTTCACAATTCCAAAGACTCCTCCTAATTTTAAAGAGTTAGTAAATGGGAACACTCAAAGTACCTTCCTCGAAGCAAGTCTTAATGAAACACGTGAGCGTATTAGCAAACTTGTGAAAGACAAAGCAGAGACTATGAACCAGTTAAAGACAAATGAAGACGATGATGAGCCGATGAAGATCATTGGAGAGCAACCTAATACTCAGTTCTACAGTAAGAATATTCTAAGCGATTACAAGCAGGCGATATCCATAACGATTAAAACTCTAAAATTAAAGCTAATAATCCCTATAGATAAGGTCGAAAAATACGTCTCAGAAATACAGAATTAACCCCAACCTATCATCTAAACAAAAACTCCAAAACCTTGACTTTGTCAGACAAAAATTATCCAAAGGCTTCAACGACGACAAATAAACCCAAACCTTCCATCCAAATCGGCCACTTAAACCTAACCAAAGACCCTATAAAATAACCTAAACCTCAAACCTACCCTCTCCTCCCTCAAAACCCACCACAACCCCTCCCAGCACCGCCTAAAAATCGAAAACATCCTCCACTCCACAAAATGGACCCCATCCCCATACAAATCCCACCCCCCAAAACCCCAAAATCCCCAAAAACCTTCCTTCCTTCTCTCCAAAAGTCGTAACCCTGATTCCCAAAACCAGTATCTTACATATTCTCCAACAAAAGATCCCTACCGGCCTTCAAAATCCCCTAACCTTACCTGGACACCTCAGCTTAATAACAGTAAAGGCGAGTACGCAGACTTGAGGCCCTCTAAACCCTCCTTACCAGAGATCCGAAAGGGTTCTCCTCCAAGCCTTAAGCACACCAACACCCTGTCCCCATACGTTGATGAGCCTCAGAGACCCCAAGATTCCTCTACTCCAGAGCAAGAAGATCTGAAATACAAGAAAAGGTTGCAAAAATACATCAAAAATCAAAGCAAGCAAGAAGAGTATTCCCATGAATTGCAAAGATTCAAAGAAATCAATAGGGATTACTACAAGGAAAAATATGAGAAGGAGAAAGCCCGCATGGAAAAGAAGTGGGCAGAGAAGATCAAAGTAGGTCTGAAGAGTAATACCTAGGTCGATTCATTGAAAGCTCAGTTTAATTTTCAGTATTCCAACCCACCTCAGATTTATCAGATGCCTTATCAGTACTATCCGATGAATCCTGCAGGGTATGGGGAGCCATATCCTCCACCTCAGAAGCCGAAGAAGGTGCGTCCTTATGAGCAGAATTCAAGTTTTTCAGAGAATCTGAGTGAGAGCTATACCTCGCTAAGGCCAAACTACAATAACAAGGTTGTGAATGAAGAGCAAAAGGACCCAAAGCTTGAGTATAATAAAGCATATGATCCTAAATACAAGATGGAAGGAATAATGCTGTATCTGCATTATTTCAGAAATTTCCCGACTAATATTTCGAGCCAAATTTATATAAGAGCTAAGGCATGCCTCGGCTCCGAAGTGATCAAAGACAAAAAGGAGCGTGAAATGGTTTGGAGCACTAACCTCATCAGCGTAGCTGATTTCCTGACACATGACGAGAAGGGCCATCGAATGATGAAAGAGATGAAAGCAGAGAAAGAAATAAAGTTACCCTTCACCATTCTTCCTATTATGGACAGCATTAGCTGGTGGAAAGATTTTTACACGCTAGTGTGGCAGCATGAAAATACAAAGAGAATTTTCATTATGTTTGAGATATGTGGAAAATCCAGTCCAACACCACTTGCTTATGCGAGGTACCAACTCAGTCGAGAAGACGGCACAATAAGATTAGGGAAAGAAGAGCTTAACTTGTACAAATACCCTTTCACGAAAGAAAAGCCTAAGAAGGGAAAGATCAATACCCATCTAGTCTTGATTATTCATCATCCAGAAAAAGAAAAAGATAATGCTTCAGAATCAAATCAATTCACTGTGATGGAGGCTCCTCAGAAGAAATATAGAAAGAAAGATTCAATAGTAATCAGCGAGATATCAAAAAGGCTTCAAAAGAGCCCAAGAGAATCCCTAAGTGAACCCAACAGCAACGATTACGAAGAAGTCAAGGAAGAAGTTCAAGAGGAAAGTGACTCTGAGTCCTCAAGTTATGCCCTCTCAGGAGATAATGGAGAAGAGCCTTTCATAGAAAACCAAGAGCGAGATGTAACATTGGAAGACTTCAAGCCAGGAACTCTCATTGTGCTCTATATTGATAGTGCAAGGTTTTTAAATGAAGATGCTACCATTACAAGGATATCTTTTAGAGGCATTGATGAAAGAGGAGGACTTGTCATACCACCTGAGCAAGGAATTTGTGATTTAACCACTTCAAATTGCCAGGCTCCGTTTTATGATTTCAGACGAGAAATATTCAAGAAATCAAGTGCCTTACCCAAAACAACCATCATCTGAATGCAAATAGACACTCTCACAAAACACAGTCTTAAGAAGAAGACTGTCGCTTTTGGATACTTCCCCTTATTCTCTGAAAGAAGCACCTTGCGACCACCTAAAAAGTTTACAAAATCCCTCTACTTCGCTAACTACGGAAAGTTCCAGCTTCCACTTTTCTGAGAGATTCCAGATTTAAGCGGTGAAGTGACTTATGACAAATTGATAAGTTCATTAAGAGTCCCGTGAGGTTCTATTCAGCTTAGGCTAGAGAAAGGTGTCAAAGACAAGGATGGCACATACATCTTCTCAGCAAACCTACCCACTGGTATGCCCACCTGCTAATGTTTAGACGAAGCGATTGAGAAAGGGGTTATCACACCAGCTCCTCCGTATTCTGAAGGCGAATATTCCACTCATTATTACCCCAAACATTCTATTGAGGACAAGATTTTCAAGCATAAGAACGTTAGGAAATACCCTGAGATCGAAACCATAATGATCTACGTTAGAGACGAACTCATTAAGAATAAATAAATTAGCCAAACAACTCAGAAAAATGAGCAAATAAAAAGAAGTTCCTTGAGCTGTCAGATGAAGAGATCATTACAAATCTCTTCGAGTTAAGGAAAAATGACACAATCGAGCTTCTCAAGATGGATTTCTTTTCACAATATATCTCCCAAGTTGGCTTCAGATTTGGCTTAGATATGCTATTTAATTGCCCAAAGGACCAACTCTATATTGCGTTTGTGAGTATTAATCCTCCTGGGAGTTATTACACTGATAGGCGAAGTTTGGATAAACTTGTTGTGATAAAGGATCTTGATTTTGATAGCACAATAAAAACTCCGAAATTTAAAGAATCAATGTATATTTTCTCCAATGTCCCTGTGGACTTCAGCACACATCTCGTGATTGACATAAAAGCAGTGAAGTTCACCTCAAAAGGGAAAATGCAAGTCCATGACTTTGCATGGACTGTATTTCCACTGTTCGCTGTTTTCGAGCATAATAATGACAAAAAGACAGATATATTCATCAGGTCTGGCCGCCATATGCTCCAGCTTTTCACTGGAGGTGCTCGTAATGATGTTATTAAAAGTCTTCAAGGCAAGCTCTCTCATTCAATTTTTAGACGATGTCCCAGACACTTGGGAATACTTACTACAAGAAAAAGAGAAGAAAGTCACAAGCGTAAGTTTCCACGGAAACTGAGCTGTTCTGTTAAGATGTGTAGACAACCAAAGGTTCGACTATGATGCTCTTGAAGATAAAAAAATCGATCATTTCTACTGTGAACACAAATATAAGCCTGTTCGCAAAGGGGCTAAGCTATCCAGCTTACTTCCTAAAGGCAAATCTCCTAAAGATTTTGATGTAGAAGTTTCAAAAATACTAGAGGAGAAATACGGAATTGCTAAATAAAATATATTTCAATTGAAACTTAAGAAGGAGGGGTTTTGGGGTTTTGGGGTTTTGGGG